ATGGATGCAGCACACATGCAAGCGACTCGAACGATGTTCCCTTCCGACTGTATGCATGACATGTTGTGGTCGAACGAAATGGTCAACGATGGTGACTGTATTTCACACCACCACCACCACCACCCCCGCCACCACCACCACCACCACCACCACCACCCCCAGGACCATGCTTGAATTGAGGGTGGGGGTACCAAGCAAGTTGCTATGTGCAGCACACCATGCATACCAGAGAAGTAGCATGCAAGAACATGCGCGATGCACCAAAACATATTTGCACACAGTTGGGATGGCTACATTTATATAAATGGTATACACATGTCCCATGGATATCCGGAAATTAATCATGACAATGTTTGAGTCTCCAGTTCTTTTGCGGGGGGGTGGTAAGACCACCTCAATTATTTAGAAAATAATCAGGGGGTGGGTGGACAGTTCCACCCCAGAAGGTTGAGCGCATTTTTCTAGCCCCACTGTAATTAAATCATGTATATTATGTTATATAACCATTTCCATTTCAATCCGTTTGAGGGGGCAGCTTTCGGAAAAAACACATATTTAGCTCATCCTTCGGCGGCCTCAAAGGCACGAGCAAACGAACCATGCAAAACAGGTATTCTTGCGCACCAGCGAACGCTCACACTATGAACTGCACAAACAAACCGGAAACAAACTGAATGTATTAGATGTAATGTGACAACTAAGGACTTTCCAAACTCATAATCCGAAACTCCCAAAGCCTACACTGAATACAGAAGATCAACCAGTTTTTTCCGCATCCGGTTTTTGAGGATCGTTGTTTCAGAGTCCAAGAGTCCAAGATGGCATATTGCATTTTGCTGGGACTGCAGGTGGACCTGACTGGTAAGCTGAATCACGAGGAGAAGAAAGCTCTTCTTTTGAGGAGGCTCCTGCTCCGAGTCGGGGAAGTCTGCATGGAGGGGCTTCAACCATCGAAGATAACATTGTTGCAACATCGACATGCCGGACTGTCAAGTTTATATACGCGTGAGGGAGGTCCCAAGTCATTCACTCCTATGATCCCGGCTCCCAGTGCACAAAACCCACAAAACAAAAGGTACACTAGCATGAGAATCACTGCAACCAATCTTTTGAAGGAGAAGAGGTTCCCTGGCCCCCCAAGCTTTGTGGATGAAACACCTTGGCTTGTTCAGAGCATCGGCCCTGGCCTCATTGTACAAGGCACATCTCGGAGCCTGCCCATATCCCTTGTCACAGCTGATACTCGCTTGTTTGCCGCAGGCATAGCGTAGCTTCCACTCTCCCCCAGCTTAGATTGAACGGTGATGTTCAAAGAGAATCCTCAGAAACCAAGACGTCTCACACTGTGCACCATGTTCGATCAGTCAGGCCGTCAGGCCGTGCCGTCAGGCCCTGTTCTGTTCCCCATCACCGGGGTCTTGGATGGACCTGTTTCACCTGGATCTGGGCGAACGGGGTCCGAACCGAACGACACCACGACCGACCGTCGTGGGTCGCCACGCGTGCCAACAGCGCCGCAGCAGGTTGAAGTTCACCGTTGGCCAAGCTGGCCGTGATGGCGCGGAGGGAACGGGTGTCGAGTGGTGGAAGGGGTGGATTTCAAGGGAACGCCCGCCCGACGGTTGTAAAATGGACTAGAATGAATTTGGGGTTTCGGACATGGTCCGGTGGAGATTCCTTACATCAACAGTGAGGTTTGGTGAGGGTATTTTTCATTGGAGTCCGTGTTCAGCCCCCCCCAAATTCCACGTGTTTTGGACGGAAAACAGTGGCTCCAGCGGCGATAAAAGGTCCGAGGTGATGGAAGATCTGATCTCACCGATCCTGGGGGTGTCCGACATGACCTCCAAAAGAGTCGGTAACAGGAACATCATTTTTGAAGAAGGCCTGCCATCATCATCCACTAGGCCCCGGGAAGAAGATACACCCACAAAAACCATGGCAGGTTGACACTTGAGGATGTCCATGCTGTTCATGTTCAGGGGTCGGTTCCGGGCTTTAGCCTTTGATCCCCCACACACACAGACAGTGTTTGGATCTGTGTTTGGGGTCAGACTGCCTCAGTCGGACCGCGTGGTGGAACTCGGTTGTGGATCCCTCAAAGTCTCCGAACACCGGACCGGACCGGCATCAGCATCATCTCATCGCATGGAACGGTCAGACCTGTTGCTTGTGGACTCGTGCTTTTCGGTACACACGTAACGTGTGACGCTCCGGTGACGTACGTACGTGGTGGACACGTAGATGCAGCTGCCAAGGGGAATTTCATGTGTAAGTCCTTTTGCAGTTGACTCGTGCTTGGCATGAAAACGGACTTCGTTTAGCTCCCCCCCAGCCTCACCAGGACGCGCACCGTTTGGACTTCTGTGTAATTCTCAAGGATGCATAAGCAGCAGGGAAGAGGGATCTCTCCGTTCGTAAACCCTTTTGAGCGCAAGTAACTATCATGAGCCCAAGAACACGCAACAAATCTTCCTCTTTCGAAACAGAAGAAGGCTCCCACGGCACGTTCTTACGTTCTTCACGCGGTCTACGGCATGAGAGCCGTGGGTCGCCACGGCAGGAAAGCGTTTGGAGTGGGGCTCTTCGGCGACCATTCGAAACTACGACGATTGAGTTGATTGAGTTGCTTGGACTCGAAGAGAAGTTTGCTTGGGCCCTTCGTCTGTTTTGGGGCGCCGAGTGACGAGAAAAGTGTCCCCAAACTCCAGTTTTGCCGGGATTCCGTGAGAAACCACATCTAGTTGCCAGCTGAACACGGTGTCTTTTAGGGCTGACAAGAGGTTCTTTATGGTGACTTCCAGCAAGAACACGGTGGTTATGGGAATCCGAAGACAGACCTCGCTGTCTCCAGTTTTTCGCAGTAGCACAGTCGGTCACGTCCCGCCTCGTCGGTCACTCGGGACCATCTTGGCGGAACCATGCACCAAGAGGTTCAGTGGAAGGGCAGCTGGGATTGAGTCAAAGGGGCACCATGGGGCACCATTGCAAAGATGGCAGGAAAACATTGGTGTAGACACAGCATCTGCAACATGAACGCAGACTCTCAATCCCCCAAAATTGTTCCGTAGCGATACGTTGTGGCGATACTCATGGATGGTGCTGTGCGCCCTTATCTCCAAATACTTCCAATTTGGGTGAATCACAATGGTATTGAGAAAGGACCACCACAGACCGGTGGTTTTGGCTTGCCACAGAGATGGTCTTAAGAGTGTCCTGCCTGCGACCTGGCTGCGCAGAGTTTCCGCGCGCGAGAAAGAAAGGGCCTTCGCCTTTGGAATGCGCGTTGCGGAGCTCGGCCAAGATGGGCTCAAACGAAGACACAGCTGACATCAGCTGACAATGTCCAAAAGGGTTTGATCTGTGGAAGATAGCTGATGGAAGAAACCATAAGAAACCCAGATGTTCTCTGATTTTTGTATGTCCTTCAAATCCACCGGCTCTCTTGGTCAAGCCGGTCCGCCACCAGCTCTGTTCAGCTGGTGGCCAACTTGGAAGTGACCTTCTCTGGAGTGGTGGGCCACAGGAAAGCGCCAAGATCCTTGAAAAATGGTTTTTTCTTTTCTTTCTCCTTTCAATGGGTGTAGAACGTGGAATGTCAGTGGCCCACAATTCAAGCAGTGAAGCAACTTTGTAATTCGCAAAGTAGCGAAGAATGCTCTGCAATTGCTTAGCCGGCTTGAGTGAAGATGCGCTTGAGCGGAGGTGTGTGTTTATCGCTTTGTTTTCCAGAATACAACTATGCACGAATGCCTTTGCAGGCCTATTGGACCTTGGCATTCTGGAGCACAGGAGCACTGGGCATGCGGATCAGAAGGCTACCAGATCCACCTGTTTTGGGATATGATTTGGGAGTTGATTTCTGGATGACAACCCATGCCATGTCGAAGGTATGAACATTCTCACCTCTTTTCGCCATAGAATGCTGTGGTTCTTCACCGTGGCAGCCCAGAGCTGGTCATTGTGGTTCTTCGCCGTCTGCGCCGATTGTGTTCAGAGGGCGACCGTGGCCATCCGCCCGGCAGCGCCCGAACCACCCGAACGAAGGGAGCCGAGGCGGCGAGCGGAAAAGGACCGGCGAGCGGAGCGGCTCGGTGCGGCTCGGTGCGGCTTGGTAGCGGTGGTAGCACAGCGCCACCTGGCGGTGTGCTTTCTGTGAGCAATGTCTTCTTTTTGTGACACGGAAACAGTCAGGGTGTCCGGTTGTTTTTTTGAGATGGATTCCAGATGTGGGAGTGGATGAAAGCGCGGTCGGTCGTGAGTTCAGTCAGACCGACCGGAATTTTGTGAACCTTGGGGAATGCCTGTCGTGAAGATAGGGAGCATTAGTAGCTATTTCCCTTGTTACTAGTAGCGATGCCCTTGTTCCTACTGGCTTCTTGTTACTAGTAGGTTTTTATCGTAAGGAACTTTGGTTTGGGCAACAGTCCATGATGAGCCTTGGATCTTCGGCTTTCTTCTGGTTTTGCTCCGGTAGGCCAGAGCTCGAAGTGAGTGGTCTTCCCACCTATTGGGATGAGTATGAACTGCTCTTTATCTATTGGCAGGCCGATGGCTCAGTTTTATTTTTCCGGACTTTCATGGACTTGCAAAACCAAGAACGAAGCATCTGCGACTCTGTGGAACCGGTTCTGCTGCTGGACACTGCTGAAATGCAGTTGACTTCTGATTGAAACAAGATTCATCTCAATGGGTGCTATAGCGGATGTGTCACCCCATCCCTGTTCTTGGCAGAAATTCCCTAAAACTATCCATGGACAGTGAATGGCATTGTCCCAATTTCGGAAGACCCCTGAAATCTGCAGACCAAACTCAGGGGTTTTCAATCACATGTGACCTCTGAGAAGCCTGGCCGCTGAGACTCGTCTGAGGTGCACGGGAGCCGCTGGACCGTGTGTCCCCGAAGCGACGACAACCGGAAGGACGATGACCTCCAACCCAATAGCGATGGCCTCCAACCTAGTAGCTTCTTGTTCCTAGTCGTAAGGCCAGGAGCCCCTAGTAGCTTCTTGTTACTAGTAGTAAGGACAGGAGCCCCTAGTAGCTTCTTGTTACTAGTAGTAAGACCAGGAGCCCCTAGTAGCGTCCTTGCTCCTAGTAGCGATGCCAGGAGCCCCCAGTAGCTTTTTGTTACTAGTAGTAAGGACAGGAGCCCCTAGTAGCTTCTTGTTACTAGTAGCAAGGCCAGGAGCCCCTAGTAGCGTCCTTGCTCCTAGTAGCGATGCCAGGAGCCCCTAGTAGCGTCCTTAAGCCCCTGTGGCACAAATGGTGCGTGACCAGCCCTCCAACAGCGGAGCACGGCCGTGACCTCGATGCCATGTCACGGCTTTGGATCTATGCTCTGCTGATCCTGTTGACGACCACTGCACCCGTGTGCCACCTCGGTCCCAAGTCCGAGCCCACTTCGATGCTTGCCTTTCATGAAGAAGAGTTTCTGGCGCATCAGACGAAAGATTTTCTTTTTGATCTTTGGAGTGCGGGGGGGTGAGGGTAGAACGGTGACCATGCACCGTTCGGAAGGGGACATGCTTTATGATCCTTTGTTTGATACCCCCGAAATACATGGTCCAGGGCATGCAGTGTCCTCAGGGACACCACTGAGGGCCACACGCCGCACAATGAAACGATCGTTTGCGCGAGCATTGAGAAGGTTGCACCAGACTGGATTTTGCATCCATCGTGGACATGTCCATACTCAGCCTCCCATGGCCCATGCTGTTCCTGACCCACCAAAGCAGCACTGTCGAAGCTCTCCAAAGGCCAAGGGCCCGCACCTGAGCTGCATGACTTGGAGTTGCGGAGGACTCTCAACGGAATCATACAACGAGCTCCTTACCTGGCTTTCCCTGCACAAGATTGACGTATGTTTTGTTCAGGGAACTCGATGGGGTCTCACCGAACCGTGGGAGAGTCATGGTCATGGTTTTGCTCTCATCCCAACACCCAGTCAGGCCGGAGCACATGACGGTCTCCTCACAGTTGTTCGAGTGCAGTTCTGTTCATCCGCTTCCATTAGCCATGCCACAGTACTTGAAGGCAGGTTGCAACACGTCAGGTGTCATCTTGATCAAATTACTATTGATCTTGTAAATTGCGATCAGCATCCAAACAACACGGCACGAGTCAGACCTGATCCAGTTCAAGCACGTATGAGCTTTTGGAATGCGTGGGAAGATTTACTCAACAAACTTCCCTTTCGTAACTTGCTAGTAGTTGCAGGTGGCTTCAACTGCACGCTGGGTCCTTCGACTTGTCGGCATGCCACAGATGCTCAGTTTCCAGATTGTGACCGCTTCAAGGCGGTGACTGATAGATTTTCACTTGCATCAGTTCGTGTCCAGGATTCCTATCCTAGTTACATAGGCCCGTCCAACGGATGCGTCAGGATTGGGAGACCGGCTCCCCGGCTCCCCCCAATGGCAGAACTTCGAGACACAGATCGACCAGCAATTGAGTTTGAACCCCCGCATCAAGTCACTAATAATGTAGTCCAAGCCTGTAATGCACACTTTCGTAAGACCCCTGATAAGCAAGAGCCCGCATGGTGCCAGTCTACCACCAGGTCCTTGGTTGCATTGAAGTGGAGACACCTCCATCTGGCGCGAAATTCTCAGCATCCTAGTAGCGGAGGCATGATGCTTTCACTCGACCTGACTCAGGCCTTTGACAGGCTACCACGTTCGAGCCTCTATGAGGGTCTAGTGATGCGGGTGCCCGAACACCCTAGCACTGTTCATTGTCAATTGGCTCAAAGACGCCAAATATGACCTCAACCACAGAGGTTTGTTTGCTGAGATTGTCACAACCTGCGGTGTACGTCAAGGCTGCAAAGGAAGCCCGCTCGAGTGGAACGTTTTCATGACTGTCATTCTTCGTGCATTATACAAAGTGTTTGGAACTAATCTTCAACAGCTGATCCACAAACTGATTTGTTTTGCTGACGATCTTCTTTTACGCTGGAAAATCAACACGTGTGATCATGCTCACCAGGCACTTTGCGAGATTGGACACACACTTGACATTCTTGAGCAGTACCAGCTGGTGTTCAATCCAAAGAAAGCAGTTATGCTTGTCCGGCTTGAGGGCTCTCAAGCAGCCAGATTCAGCAAGCAGTGTTTCGTCAAAACCAAAGAAGGCCTGTTTATTAGAATCCCTAGGCAACACGGTGATACTTTACTTCCAGTGGTTCATTCACGTGTGTATCTTGGATGTAAACTGTCCTACCATTGGTTTGAGAAGCTCACACTTGCACATAGACTGCAAATAGGTAAGGCTGCTTTTCATAGGTTACGACCCTGGCTCGCCAATCGTGCATCTATAGCTCCTACACACACGGACTTGCAGCAGCTGGCCTCACTCAGGAAGGTCTTCACAAACTCATTGCACGTTGTAATGCTGACCTTCGTATCTTAGGGCAATCTCCTGGTCATGTCACCCATGAATGCAATAGTGATTTGTTTCGTCGAATAGGTATCGCTGATCCAGTGTGCACCATCCAGGAGCAGTGGAACCACCTTTTCACTCGTCTTGATCACCAACAAACCTTGCTGCGGCCAAGTGACTTTCTTCGGACATTGCCAATTCATGCTACTCGAACTCGAGTCATGTCCGTCTTTGTGCAAGTACAGGTTCATCGTCTTGTTTGGCAGTTATCATGTCCGTACTGCACTCAGCTTTTTGATAATATGACCCAGCTCAACAGGGACGACCCCAATGTCGACATTGCTCCTTCCAGTTCCAAGACTGGCGAGGCCTGAAACGACACATT